TGTGGTATGCTAAAGAAGAGGACGAAAGGATTTGTTCGCGCGAAGATTATACAAGAATTCGATGTCGAAATGTTGGATCGGTTGGCGTTCTTATATGAGAATACAATGCAAATTATTTCTTGAAACTGGTATTTCGCGTACGTCTCTATCGTGGGCAGCGGTAAGCAGCCAATTATACTATGCCACGCGACGCGCGTTCATAGCATACGCATGCAAATCTTGCGACGACATCCGTCGCGTCGGAACGCATCGACCGGCGTAACGCGACGTGGAAACAGTGTGCTTCTAGTCCATTAGGATGAATGAATGAATCGGATATATGCATAGATTGCGCGACACGGCGTATATTGTCGCGTGGCGTGGACCAAGTTGATTTGTGGCTTGTCACCGAACGAAGATATATTCAGTATTTTTAGAATTTTATTTGCCAGGATGTGTATGGTCTGAAAAAAGTTGTAGATAGAAAAGAAATATTTTGACAACTCTAAAATAGTGGATCTACAAATAATTTTTATTAGGTATGTTACTTTTTTCCTTTTTTTTTTCAATAAACTTAATTTTATATATGTAGATAATCGATTGTTTAAATTGTGCTGCGATTAATAAGATTTATTCTGTATTCTTTTCGAGAATGCGTGATTATAAAACGAAGCGAAGAATATTCTGCAGGTAATATAGGTAAAATACTATTGATTTTTGGCTCGATGCAACGAGTTCATGAACTGTACTTTTTTTAGATACATGTTTTAGATACAGCTTGCTTCAGCTTTCTGCGGTAAAACGAACGGAAATTAAATATCTCTATATTTGAAAAGTTCGAGATGATATTAAAAAGTTGTTTTTTTTTTGTACATATATATCTCAACGTAATTGCGGCGAAAACTCGAATTTAATATAATAGCGTAATTAAATAACTATACTCCTGAATTCTCTTCAAGAAACTTTAAATACCCGTGTAGTTTTTTTTTTAAACTGTTTTCTAAACAGGAGCACGCGATGTTGTGTCACTTCGGATATCTGACGCTTTGCTTTACCTGAACCTAACTTAAACCTGAACCTGAACGGTCCAGCCTAATCGATAGCGCCCCGAACTTTGACCCTGGAAACATCTGTTCATACAGACAGATCTATTTTCCCCCGCGTTTCCCTGCTTCGACTTCACCCTGTCTCGCGATCGAGACCAGTTTTTCGGCGGTCGTTCTTCACGCGTGATTTGTGCATGCAAGCGGCGACGGCGACGACGACGATGACGACGACGACGACGACGACGACGACGACGATGACGACGACGACGACGGCAGCAGCGGCGGCGACCGTTCGCGGCACCATCCCGCGCGATCAATATCAGCGCAAACGGCGGCGGCCACGACTACAATCAACGAGGGTGACTACGACGATGACGGGGAAGAGCGAGAGAGACAGAGAGAGAGTGAAAGAGAGAGAACTATCACACACTACCTCGCACGACGAAGCGCACATACGACACGACAGAACATTCGCGTGTATGTGTGTTTTGTGTGTTGGGATGTGTGTGTGTGGTGTGCAAAAGCTGTGTGTTGATGGTGTCGACGCTGTGCCCGGCGGTGGGGCAGGTCGAGGTGGGGACGTTGCCAGGCGACGGAAGCTGCTGCTGCCTGCTGCCGCGCGAGTTCATCGTCCTCGCGCCCGCGCTTCTCCCTTGCGCTCGCACCGATATCCAGCTAGCCACCCTTCGTCCGTTTCTTTTGGCTTCTCCGCGCGCGTAGCATCGCGCCGAGAGCCAGCCCCGCCCCGTGGTGCTCCTCGTTATCGTTCTCATGAATTGTAATCGAAAATGCAAAACGTTTCAATAACACGTTTTGGATAACGCGCAACGGGGCGGTTGGTGGCGATCGAGGGCGGCGCGAAGGGCGCACACGGTACTTGTAACTTTGCCCTCCCGGCTTACCGTCTAACATGTTTTCGATCTTTTATGGCGATGTCTTGTTTGGAAAGGGCCTCGGCAAATTTATCTCCAAGTGCTATCTCATTTAACGAAGTCATTAATTGCAACTGATGTAGTGAAAATCCGTTTACGGAAAGTTTACGTTAAGTCGTTCTCGTTTATAAATGCTCGAAACACTCGAAATTAACGCGATTTAAATTATCTCCACGAAAGCGTACTTCGTTGGAGATGTATATTTCGCGCAAAAAAACACCACCGCTTCTTTTAATCTTGACGTAGCATTGAAAAACGCAGAAGACTTTCATATTTGATAGATTCTAGAGCTGTTCTGCTTAATCGCAGGTTTCCTACTTCATTTTTAATTTTTTATCTTGGTTCTTTCTCCTTCTTTAAAATGCTTCATCATATACTCATTTCATTTCGAGCCAAGAAAGCGTAATACAATGCAGCTGGAAGAAGTTAGACCTATTATGTAATGAAGGTATCGTGTGTTACGTTGAGACAGACACGTTTCAAGTAATTCAATCCCGTAAATCTTTCACGACCTTTTTATCGCTGTTAATTAAAGCCGAAAGATTACTAGACTTCGATAATATATTGGAACAATATGCTGTGCGCGGCTGAAAAGCTCATTAGTCAGAATGAAAGCTGTAAAAAAATTACGATAATAACAGATACGATAGATAAATATGTATTGTTGTTAGCGGTGCGCATAACTCTGCATATTATTCTCTTTTCATCGTTGTTATCAGTCGGAACGTGCCGTTCTCTCGAGGAGTTCAAAAATTTTCCATAAATAATGACATGATGTAATAGGAATGTGTTATATATATAGGATATATTACAGAGCAACGGAGTTTCGGTACACCCGACTCCGCCCCGGTTATCGCCACTATTATCAACGTCATATTGGAATCGGAGCATGCAAAGGAATTCGATAAATAATAAACATGACGTAACAGAGACGTTGATGTATCGCGTTCGACTCCGCCCTTTGACTGCTCGACGTTATTAATTAAAATCGAAAATGGTTAAATATTTTGACCAAATAAATAAAAGTGCAAACTCGAGGCCGTTGACCCGATTTCAACAAGTGTTAACGGAAATAGCTTTTTAAAGATTTGCAAACGATGATCTTTAAAGTGTTGGATTCAATTAAATTGACTTCAGAAATTGAAGTTTTTTAATTGTAGATCACCCTCGATTGTGCGTAAATATCGGATTTGAAGAATTGACGGAAATAAAAAAAAAAGACTTGATTTCAATAAATTAGAACAGTAAACAGCGAAAGGCGGAGAGAAGAGAGAAAAGGAATGACTCATTTGGACACACACGTGTGTCAGCATTCGACTGGCCCCTATATGGCTGATACACGCGTGTTATGCACGCCTGTACCTAGCCCTCATCGATCTTGTCGCCGTACCCGGCCAGAGGGTTAAAACTGGAGCAATGGATCTCCGCCGCATCGTTGCTTTCCTCGCGTCGGCAAACCCCGAGCAGTGCTTAAAACACCGTGATATTACTCTCATTTTTAACTAATTAAATTTTAGCCCGGTTAAATTTTACGCATTGTGGTCCTTTTTTTCTTTTCTTTTTTTTTTTAGTTGTTTGCACTTCGTTTCCGTAATTGGCTCCGCCATGTCGCATCCGTGCTCCTTTTGTTTGCTCGTTTCGGGTTCGCTCTTCCGACTCGTTTTACCGCTCTTCCGTGTTTCTCACATCGTGCACACACGTCTTAATCCTTTTTCTCGTCCCCATTAATTCGCACTGCTTGAAACTTCCGTACGATTTACCTTCTCTGGCATTTCCGCCGGTTTGTCAGCTACGCGTTTTTCGGGGTGACGGTTGTTATGTTAACAAATCTGCCTCGCTCGCTTGACTTTGACTGAAGCTGAGCCTCTATGTGGATCAAGTACTCTTTCGTGCGAGCACGAACTACTTGATCCACATACTAAATTATGCAAGTGAGAGAAGGCACACTTATGTAAGTGTTACGGAAAAATTTGTGGGTTTAGCGAAATTTATGCCACGATTTTAACGATGGAAACAATACAGCTCTTTTCGCGTCACATAATTTGTTAACTAAATTATAAATTATGAGTTTTAAATCATATTTTATCTAATACTACCTTTTTAATACTACAAAGAGAATTATAATCCAATAATGAATAAAATATTATGATAAAAAATACCTTATAGTATTTTTATTTCTATAATTATATTACAAATAATATAATAAAATTTATAATAATTGAAATTTATAATTTATAATAATTTATAATCATTGAAAGCAGAATAGTTTCCGCAAATTAAATTTTTGCCATATAAATATGTTATAAAGTCTTGTTTTACGATTAATTTTAAGTTTGCTTTAACAAAAATTTAATTGTTATTTGAATTTTTAATATCAATAACGGAAAGTTCGTGTGGTAAAATCACACAAAATTTTACTAAATTTTACTAAAAATTTTATTAAATTTTACTAAATATAATATTTTACTAAAAATAAACATCCGTCATCAAGAGGCAAAGCGCTGAATTCGCGACACCCCGTATATCAACGCATGAAACGTTCGCAGATTACATGTAATAAGCTGATTCACCTGTGAAAGCCGCGATATCCCACTTATGCGTTTAACACGGTACATACGTCTATAAATAGAGCATGCTCTGCGAGTGTGTAGGTACCTATGCCTATCTATTCCGTCTCAGTGCGACGTAATTTATTACACGCGAAGAATTGCAGTAGCATTTTAAAACATTTTTTTTTACAGAGAGCAATAATTACAAGGGATAATAATTACAATATTCTGGCGATTTTATTCTAAGTTACGCAAATTAAGGAGAAGCCATTCTTTTCCGCAACTTTATTTCAAACTATTCGAAATCAACAATTTTATTGCGTAGCAATTTAATAAGAAGTTCTGCGAAAGAGAGAGAGAGATGCAATATCAAAATAAATTTAAATACTACAAATTAAATAAAAAATATTTTCCTTTGCCTTATTCAATACTGTTGGAAATTTTTCGATTTATGCGCCTTGATCAATAACGAACGATTTTTATTGCTTTTTCAGAATGTTGATCACAAGATGAAATTCCGCTCCAAGAAGGGCCAGCTGCCGTTCGTCGAACTGAACGGCGAGGAGATCGCGGATAGCACCATCATCCTGCGAGAACTGAGTCAGAAATTCGGCAAGGATCTGGACGCCGGGCTCACGTCTGAGCAGCGCAGCGTCTCCCACGCCATGATATCGATGATTGAGAATCACCTCGTTTGGGTTGTCGCGTGCTGGCGCACGAAGAATCTGGATCAAGTGCTGAAGGGCTACAAGGTCAATCTGCAACTCGCTCTGGGATCACGTATACCCAACGCGATTCTCAACTTCTTCTTCAAGCTCACGTTCGGACGCAAGGTAAGTTTCGCTTATCTTCGCCGCGTGATATCGGTGTGACCTAGCATACAACTTGGACGTTTCAATCATTGGATGATAATTCACGCATTTCCACGGTCTCTGATCATTCAATTGTAATGATTCACTCGCATCCGTCTTTGTATAATTCATTTATATATTTCCATAATTATATTCCACATTATTTCCATAATCACATGTATAATGATGTATGCAAAATTCTTCCCCTCGACCTCTCTCATTAATTTTTCAAGGCGCACGATTTCATATGTACGCATTTTCGATTAGCCATGCATGTATTTTCACATTATGGTAGTTGCATTCACGTAAATACTAATTACAGTTTCGTCACTGTCACACTTTGTCCAGCATTAACCGTTTTGAATCTTGATTGAGTCCTGGTCGAGGTCCTGACGTTTTTTCGTCTAGAGATATTAATAATATGGAATATAAGAGTGACTTGTAAAAGATGCAAAGTTTTATCAAATGTTTATTTATGAGCGGATAAATGCGCTAATAAATTGTTGAAGAAATTTTTCACCCGGATCTTCGACCAAGTTTCGCTACTTACACGTTATCACAATGTTACTTCATGCTATCCCTAGAATCATTCATAGCGATCGCTTAGAGTGCAAGCTGCGCTTGTGGCTATAGATGCCTATGAATGTGGTAGCTGAGGTAGTATTTAGAGAAGAAAACGCGAACGCAGAACAAAGCATTGTGACCATTTGTAGTGAGATGGTAGTTGGATTGGTTGCAGGGGGCGAGGAAAGTCAAGGCTCAAGGAATGGGCGTGCATAGTCCGGAGGAAGTGTCCCAATTTGGCTGCACCGACCTCAAAGTGCTCTCGGACACGCTTGCTGACAAGCCTTTCTTCTTCGGGGACGAGCCGACTACCGTGAGTATCGTTTAAATCCGTCGACGCGTCATCTATCGCGATGGAGAGATTTTCGCATTTTGCACCGCATTTTGTTGCGTTTCAGCGGTATATATTGTTTTCTGTGTAAATAATAGTTTCGGTTACTCGTAATCCGATACTAAAGATAATATCGGTGAACACGTCACGGCCGCCTGCGGCGGAGCGGCACTCGAGCTGGCCAGCACAGAGCTTCTCAAATATGATTGATATCGGATTAGGCAAATAACAGTTATTAATCTAACAAGTGGCCTGTTGCAATTCGATTCTACGTGTTGTCTTACGTTCAGCTGTTGATTCAACGATGTTTGCGCTTTCCGAAAATGATGTATGAATAACAAATAATTTCCTCTAAATATCGCGGAAACGATTCAGAAGATTGCGCGGTGCTTTGTTGATTTATAGTTACGCTTGTTTTCACGCGAAAGATTGATGTAAGATAGATCACCGGCTGCAATCTCGGCAATCTGGATAATTGAATCCGTCTCGGCGGTGATTTTGTTGGATTTCTACAGATGGACGTGGTGGCGTTCGCGCATCTCGCTCAAATTCTGTACATCGACAAAGACACGCCCTACAGCCTGCGAGATTACATGGTGGAGAACTGTCCCAACTTGGTCGGGCACTGCTCGCGCGTCAAGGAACGATGCTTCCCGGATTGGGACGAAATCTGCTCGAGCCTGGACATGAACACGCATCTGCCGAAGCCCGAGAAGCAGGAGGAGAAGGAGGGCAAGGAGGAGGCGAAGGAGTCCAAAGAGTCCAAGGAGGAGAAGGAGGGCGATAAGGAGAAGGCGGATAAGGAGGAGAAGGAAGTCGAGAAGGACAAGGAGGTTGACGAGAACAAAGAAAAAGAGAAGGACGGCAAATAAGCGGTCACGTTGTAAAAGGAAGTAATAAGTCGTTTCAAGGATTTAAAAGCGAAGAGTCGCGAAGAGGTGTGCTAACGAATGGATAGAGACGGAGAGAGAGTGGGATTAGTTGATGATGGGCAAGAGTGTATGCGTATGCGTGTGGGTGATTTGCGCGAATGTGACGACGGAGCGAACGAGGACGGTGTGTAGAGAGCGCGTACGCGTATGATGATGAGGGAAGGGAGTTGCCGGAAGTGAGAGATTGTGCGTATGTGTGTGTGCATGTATTTGTGTGCGTGCGAGAGAAAAAGAGAATTGAGAGAGAAAGCGAGAAAGTGCGTATGCATGCGTGTATGATAGAAAGAGAGAGAGAGAGAGAGAGAGAGAGAGAAGAGAGAGAGAGAGAGAGAGAGAGAGGAGGAGAGAGAGAAGAGAGAGATGAGATTCGGGACTAGAGCTCTCTACTTATACGTATAGATATTAAATAGACTCATGTATAATGTTAATACTTCGTTTATATACGTTCAACACGCGTCACGCGGTATCTCACATTTGACACACATACACACACACACACGCACACACACACACACGTACACACACGATTGGAACGACTATTCTCTAACCCACGCCCTTTCTCCGTTCTGCGCTAAGGACAAACGAAAAAAAAATAAAATAAAAACGGGGCTATCTCATAAGTCATTAGAAACGTAGGATTGCAATATACGAACTGCAATAGTCTGACGCAGCTGGGGTCTTTGTCGACAGTGGCCAAATGCAATATAGCATACGCTATAAGATACAAGTAGTTACGGAAGAAGAAGAAAAAAGAGGAAGGAAGGAGCGAAGGTAGGGTCGCGCGACGGCATACCGATCCCCGCCTTCCGGGCGAAGAGCGTCCCACTTCGCTTTTCTCGGATGATCCTTGCTGTGCAAAGTTACCTTGCGTCCCGCGCGCAAACGTAACACGATCTTTCTTATGCGTTTTTTTTTTTTTTTTTTTATTTTATTTTTATTAATTTAGTTCGCGTTCTCTTCTTACGTTCATACGTGTATCGCGCGTTTTACTTTCACGCAGCGCACCGAATGGAGTTTTTAAACGATTTTTTAACACGAGATTTACACACGACATAGATATATATGTATCATTGAGAGATTGTCTATTAAAATCATCTGAGGAAGTACCGTTGCGCGTCTCGTTAGCCGGTTCATGGACGCGATTCGATACTTTCATTATCGATTAATGATAATATTAATAACATTAATATTAATGACGATAATATTGATAAGAGTGGCAACAATAATAATAATATTAACCGTAATAATGATAGTAAGGACGGTATCCGATGTCTGCGCGGAAATAAGTGTCAGGTCATCGATCGACTGAATTACTTCTCTCGTGTTCTTTTAACAATCGCGAGTCGAGTCACGCCAATTGACCAGCTAGCAACGGATGTCCTCAGACAGCCTAATGTAGAATGCAAATGGACTTGACAAGCCGGTACGGGAAAGTAGTTTGATCCGCTCTTCCGTTTGGCCGCAATTCCGTTTGCATTTCAGCATCATCAAGCACCCGCGCGCGCGCGCGCGCGCGTGCACGCGCACAAATTTTTATTTTAATGACGCTACTCATTCCTGTATTTTGTATCGAATTACGGACGTGTGTAATCGCTTTTGCAATCTTTTCACGACGATATTTTAGACGAGTGGAGTATAGAACCGCGATAAGCGATGGACGGCACATATTACTATTATTTGTATATTATAGATATATATGTATTACGTAGACGCGAATGCAGTCGGACTTAGGAGGAGGATGCCATTCGTGTATAGCGGAGTCGTAATATTTCGTCCCTTTTCCCCGTCCCCCGCCCGTCCCTCTTGCTCCCTCCGCGTATTCTTTTGTATTTTTTTCTTTTAGCGAAGAGGCACAGGTAACGTTTTGATCTCTCTCTTTTTTTCCCCCTCTTTCGGTACTCAAAACACTGTGCTGCCCACGCGGTATTTTATCGATACGATTTTTCGGACGTGTTAAGGAAAATTTACCTTGCGTAATACAAAGTGTCTTTCACGCATCGAAAATCGACATTTGATGTATTAACGGGAATTGAAGTTTTTCTATGAACTGCGTAGCAGCTGCGTAGTTTTTCTACGGCAGCTGAGCATATTCCACGAAGACACGAGATATATTACATTTAAGTAGCTTTTACTATATTATTGATACTGATTATGATCATGTAATGAAACAAGAAGATAAAAAAAAAATGGAAAAAAAGATTTAGATGGATGATGCTGTTTATACTTAGGACGGCGCATATGTTTTCACCTGTGGTTACATATTATTATGGATTATTACGTACGCGAAATATAAATAATATAAAAGAAAAAAAGATTAGAGAATGAAAGAAACATTTGGACAAGACCATAAACGTTGCAAGCACGGTAGGTAGGCCCACCCAATACAGTAAGATTATTATAAGAGGAATATTAATAATTATTATAATATGACTGCTCGTTTTATGCTCGGCGCTATACATTTCATTGTCATTATTATATCACCATTTATTAACGATATACATACGAACAAATAAAATGTGTTTATAAATATAAAGTAAACTTTATGAAATCTGTTAACGTTTATTTGCAGCCCCTCCGATTTCTCTCCACGTCGCATTTAAGAGGAATTAGCACAGCGTTTGGTGAAGAAAATATGTCAATTGATGAGTCAATTATTATTTATTATCTAAATTTTTTGAAGGCTTACATAATAGTAAAGTTGAGAAGTAACATTTGAATCGTTGATCTATGAGGGACTCGTTTTACTCCCTCAGCGTAATCTCGCGCCATTTCCATTATTATACTATGTATGATTTCTGGATTTCTTTCGCAATTCACTGTTATCAGATGTCACGTATTTTAAAAACTTTCTATTCGGCACAGAGATATGTTTAATATTCCTACAATTCAACAATTTAATTAATGCCATTACACTGCGATCCAATTTCGTTTATTATCATCTCATTGTAACTAAATCTTGATGCTTTCTTTTTTACTTCTAGTTTTTCTTGTATCACCTATCGTGGAAAGCATGTCGGTGATTTCGTTAACGAGCCAGATCTATTGGAAAGAAACGAGAGAGTAACATAGTATTAACAGCGAGGACACAGAGCATAGAAGTGCCCATATTCGTGTCACATCTAAAATTTCTTCATAAGCATCCTATAATTACTAACAGAATGGAATGGCAATTATGACGAGGTATGTGAATGACGATTTTCTTACGCTCGCCTAAGACGTTCGCCGATGAATATTGCTTTATTCCGTAACTCGCCGTGAGATACGAAAATTTAGAAACTATACTTTATTTTCCCCTCAATCTCTGCTCGCGTTTCTGCCAATTGTTTGATCCTTTCACAAACGCCAACCACTACGAGATGTGCTTCAGAAATGACTATTAATTTTCGTCAATAACGAACTATATATATCATTTTTATTCAAGATATAATTACATTCAAAACTCGCTTTTAAAAGTTTCATTTTTGCGATATTTAAAACACACATTCTTTGTTAGTTGACAAGGAAAATGACAGCCTAATTCATTTCGGCAAAAGTGACTTTTAGAACATTGCTATATTATTATTTTTTTTTTTTTTATGCAATTTAAAATATATGTAGCGGTTGACCATTAAATATAGTAATACTTTGAAAGTATTCGAATGTTGAATTTAATACTTTGAAAGTTTTTAAAGTCTGACTGTTACTTGGAATACAAATTATTACATATCACCTCCAAATCGGTTCTGTATTTAAAATAAGTTCGAATACGCGCACAAATAAAATTGCTATCTAACAGCGCGCGCGTTTGCGCTAATCAAATCTATCGATGACTCATTGTATAGAAACGATGCTCGAATTGGTCAACTTTTATATTGGTACCCATGCAACATCGCTACAAAAATAATTTTCTCTTTTCATTCATCATACGATCCTATACAAGAAGTCGCCGTTTACGCTTAACGCCAAAAAGGACTTTTACAAAAATAATAACACTTCATCTCAAGCTTTTCCACATCTTGAAGAAGGACCTGCTTCAAGCAGTGTCCGTAGTCTCTTTAATCAAAGCACATTAGCGCACAACTCTTCGAAATGCCGATATCGTGTTTAAGAAGGGGTCGTATCGAAGATTACGATCCGGTCGTTGGAATTGTATTCGTCAATTGGGCTTTCGTAAGAGATAAAGTGACGCTTAGAAGGCTGTACTGGCCGTCGACTGCACGCCGGACTCAGAAGTTGTATGTCCGGCGTGTAGCTACAGCTACGTGGACGCCGCGAGGCTGATGGACGTTGATTCGGTGACGGCCGATCTCGGTTTCACATCCAAGGAATCATACAGAGGGAATTCGCAGCACAGAATGAACTTGAGGAAACGTGGCACTTCGACGTAGATAGCCGGCGGTATAGGTATTAGTGGCGACGTTGATTGCTTGTAATAGCGATACTCCGCGTTGCTGCAAATATAATATAAAAATTAGTACATCGCTGAAGCATAAATATTGGAAATATTTCATTGATAGCAACTTGCGCTGATTTCATTTTTGTAAAATTTATTAAATTATTCATTAAGTCTTGCAATTTAAATTTAACAGGAATGAACGTTTACAATTTAATGCTAAATAATTATGCTTGTATCTCGTGAATGAATCTATCTTTAAAATATTTCCATCTTTAAATTAAAGTTTTCCAATTAAAATTATGATAAAATTATTCAAAAACTTGATATTCAATTTTTCATGTAAGTTCGCTATTAAAAATCGTCTTTTCTCAACCGCAGAAACTCATTGCACACACGAACACTTCAGTGATACTCACTCCCGGTATCTTTCGTCCGACGCCTTTTCCAACAACGGCATCCCTGATAGGAACAAAATGATAAACGTGGTGAAGATCGGGGAAGCGATAGCCACCCATTCCGCTCCCTCAATAACGTTCAAGGATATTATGAAGATCCCCCACCAGACGACGATCTCGCCGAAATAATTCGGATGCCGTGAAAGTCTCCAAAGTCCTGGAAGATCATTGGCTTGTTAAACGAGAGCTGCTCCTTAGCGGAACCGATATTAACTACTGCGGACTAATTGTGTGATAAGTGGGGCGCAGAAATTTATGAGACTTCACGACGAGCCTTCCCCAAAGAGGAATGCTGAGGCGCATTGAGACGGAATAATCTGCGTATAATTGTTTCATCTAAACAAAACCTTCCTTCTACTCAGCTAGCATTGCCAAAGAAAGACGTCGGACCACCCGAGTAGTAGGACGGTTCCCCGGAAACCTTACAAGCTCCGTGTCCTAATAATAACTAAACTGTACACAAACGTACAGGAGGGTAAACGCTGCTCTTTCAATAAATTTACGCTCCATCTTCTAATTAATTGCTAATAAATTTCTAATTAATTTAATTCAAAATATTGATTTAATATCTAATAATTTTGTTTAATAAAAAGTATATTATTATAAATATATATAATAAAAAATATATTATTTTATAAAAAGTCTCTACATCTCTAAGCAGATTTTATTTAAAGATATGGTGTGCATTTAAAATATAAAATATTTCTGCAAAGATATTTAAGAAAAGTATCTTAATTAGAAGACAAGTTCTTACCATCGTTACACCATTTCCCATTATTTACAGGGTCTTGCTTGAAAGCGAATTTTTGCAGGTCAGCGTAAGTTTCAGCTAGTAAACCGATCAGAAAAAGACCCGTGCCAGCACTGTCGAGGGTCGTCATTGTTTTCGGAGCGGGCGGTATCTTGTGACGTGGAGAATTGATTATTATCACAGGCAGACTGACAACGTACACCCACACAGCCTGCGAATCAGCAATGCGTCTTTCGTGTAGCAATATAAAACATTTACAAGTACAGAAAGAATAAGAGCAATGTCATATCATAAATCGTAATCACCTGAAACGTCCAGAACACGGCGAAACGAATCACGTTACTACGACGGTCGTCGAATCTTTTATCACGGCCTATTTTGATGATTCTGTACAAGAGGTATCCAGAAAGTCGCACACCCCACAGGCATACAAACACAGTAACCATGACTTGGCGGCTGTCATACGTCTGCACGAAAGAAAAAGTTCGAAGCATTAGTATATTAATAGATTCGCACTTAAAAACTATGCGTAAGGTTAAACAAGCGGTGATGAATATTAAATATAGCATCTTATTTATAGCATCAGCTTCATTGAGAATATGTTGATGATAACACATATGCTTCGTAAAAGCTGCAGGACGTATTTATTGAATACCAAGAATTATTGTGAATGATTTATGAATGTAAATGCCAATGCTCAAAACTGTCACTTAAAATTAGATATTGACAATTATTTTGCGCTAAAAATTAAATAATATTTGAAAACCTATTAAAATCAATAACTACGTTATACGAGAAAAATACATTTAACTTATAATAGTATATTTTTTTACAGAGTGATAAAACTATTTCCAATTAAATCAAACAAATTGTGTCTGAACCGTGTCAATATTCCTTAAGAAAACATGATGTTATATTTCTTAGCTTTTCCATGTCACCAGAGAAATATCTTGTGCATTTTAATATTTATTTGATTTCATCCATCGAACGTCTATAGACATCGCACGTGTGCACGAACCGAGAGGTGCCAGTTATAATATTGGAGTACCTTGCCCACTTGACCGAGAAAGAAAGTGAGGAGGGCGAGGATGATAAAGTTGGTGCCGCCGGCAAAGTCCGTCAATTTGTCCATCTGAAAAGTGGCCGCGATCGTGAAGAAGATCAGCTGCATGCCAACGGTCACGATCGCGCTCACGGCGAGGTGATCCTCGTCTAGGATGTCGACCGCCATACCGTCGTGTCCTCAACGACGTCTCGTCAATCGCCTCTCGACAAATTATCTCGGATTCTGAAATGCATTTATTAACAACGCGGCACCGGTAAATATTAGTCGGAGTCAACTTTAACTTTCAGAGTTAACTTCGAAGTTAACTCCGAGAAATCGCTCGGGTTAATTAAACAAAAGTTCAAACTATAAACCGTTCGTAATTAAACTGTAAAATATTTCAAATTAAATTACAAGGGATTTTTGTAGTTGGAAATAATTATAAAATTATGCTTGAAAGAAAACGAAAAGTTTTCCAGCACGTGCAGAAACGCGCACTTAGGACGTATTGTTCGAAGATTGTAAAATGATAACACGCATTATGCATCTTGTTTGTAAATTGTGTGGAACAAAATTAACATTACAGAATTAAACGCTCAATGCGGTATCTTATCTTTTGGCAAAACAAGTTATACGCTCCAGATAAACAAAATCATACGTCGACGTGTAGTTATATTATGCTTTCCGCATTGCGGAAAGCATAGTATATTGAAGATGCGCCCATAATTAATACAAGACATCCTAGAAAAAGTCGCTAAGAAATTTATGTACAAACATACTCTGCGTGGCATAAACATATTCTTGGTAGCAATATTTTGAATAATTTAAGAACGTTCTAGCGCGTGCAGCCTATAAATTTGAGATTACCTCGAAAGCTGTTTTTTTGTGAAATAATATAGAATACAGACATCTCTGTACAAGGATAATTTTATCTGTATCCTTGCAAAATGTATAAATGTTTTCGTATTACTGAGCAATCCGACAATCTAATTAAAAAATATTGTAACATATAAACACGCGATGACAGTCACGTGTGTAAAATAAAGCGATATCAAATATTTGACTTGACATTATCAATGTTGCGTAATAGCGTTATGAATGTTGCACAGTTTACAGTATCACTTTTTCATTTGTAAGAGAATGTAAAAAAGAGATAAACCTATATAATTATATTCGCAATTTCCAGGTTCAGAAATATCTGCAAGGATTCTCATAAATCAGCGAGCTATCCTGGCGTAAAAGAAGGACAACTGCAGAAAGTCAATGTGAACGTCGAAGTTGAAAAGCTGAAAGGTCTCCTCCAGTAGTAAGTAATAAGCGAGGGAGTGAAGGATTTGGAAAAAAAGCGCAAAAAGTTACCTCTTTCGAGGAGAGCCGCATCTCGCGATGGTCCTCCAGCGGTGTCGCGCGTTTCCGCACGGACGATTGACAGGAAATCCGATGTCAACGCGGCTAAAACGAGCGCGCACTCCCGCACGACGAGTATCACGTGTGGAGTCCGCCGTGGCTCGCGGCGATGCTCGCGAACCCCCGCACGCGTCAACGGCGGAGCGCCGAGATACGCCTCCGCCCCTTCGTCCCCGTAAAAGCGACGGAATCGCCCCCGCGGTGCCTTTGTCCCGCTCCCCTCCTCTTTACCGCGCGTTGCGCCGCTCTTCTCGCATCGCGCCTTTAACGCGCACGCTTTCGGAATCCCTCCGCGAGATTTATAGGCCGGAGGACATCTCTGACATCATCCAGGGACACCTGCACCAACGCGGATTAAACGGATCACGGTCTTCGTACGCTCCGGTTCATCTTGCGTCAATCGATTTTAGATAGAGAATCGTGTCTTTCGTTAAAATTATTCAAATAAGCCGATTGCTTTATATTTATCCAGAGAGGAGTTCTAACTTATTTCTCCCAGGCAATGCAATATTTTTCTGCAAGAATATAACAGTAATGCAATTAATAACACTTGGATATTAATTTGCGTGACACTTGTCACACGCGATAGAGCCTAAATATCAGGTGTGATGAATGCATTCTGCGTTATTTTTTACTTCATGTATCAAAGTAAATTGAGATAAAAGTTTTTCAATGCAAAGTAGGTTCCTAAAAATACCAGTTCTCTTACTTCACAATTCTAAGACTATGATTTGTTGAATTCGATTTAAAATCGATTGTCAATTTTTCGCAAGGATTTTTACACGCACATTTCAGAGACGAACTTTTAGCTTAGGGCGCCCAGATATCGTAAAACGGCTCTGCCAACAACACCCCAGCCATTCCCTCCCTTCTTCGTCTTCAACCCCACTCCCATGGTATTCTCCTCTCTGTCCTTCACCCCACATCCCTTCCTTGATTCGCAACGTCTATTTCCTTCCCTTCATTCTCCATACGCTCTGCGAACACCCTAATGCCAGAACTAATCGCTCACTCACCCTCCGTGTCTGCACCCTTTAAAATATCGCACCCATTCATTGTTCCTTTCGTTCGTTTTCGCTCTCCAATCGCACTCGCAATTAGTGCGGCGTTCTCCCTTTCTTTTCCCGCAGTACGCTCTCGTCATCTTTTTTTACCTTCATTTTTCCCTCCACCACTCTTCTCCGTCCGTTTCCCTCCTTGCTTCTGCCAGCATTCGACACGCTCGCTCGCGATTCCTGCCTCAATGTTGGTTGACTGCCCAATTCGAATTGGGTTGTATCTGTTTATTGCGATTATCTTAGAAATTTGCCCTTGTCTCGTTCAATTTTCGAGTGTCGCAATGCAATTCGGTCCATCGAGCCAGAAATCAATATTACATGCGCCGGCGCCTCGCTGGAAATGTTCAACGTGGAAATCTTCGCAATTATGGTCGCAAAAGCACCAATTTACATATTTATGATTTATAACTGTCCAAAGAAACTGAAGAGTTCAGATAAAATGAATTTTTTACATATAGGATTCCGAGGACTGATAAGAAAATTTCAGAAAACAATTGGACTGAATATATTAAATCTTTTAAAGTGTTAAAAATAATACATTCTCAGAGATGTTTGCTGTTAAGGAAATAACGAATAAAATATAAATGGTACTTTTGCTAAATTAAAGAAGTGTTTATAAAAATATTTGCACTTTCTAATGTAAATATAAATTCAAAGCAAAGTTATTTCCAGATAACGCAAATATTTAATCATTGAGCAACAAAACAAGAAAATTCTATTTTTAATTGATTACTGCCCTCCACAGACATGAGTTCAATTTTACAAATTACTTTTAGTTTCTTTCATCAATTTGATTTCAGTTTTACAGCATTAAAAGTCAGAGATTGTTGTTTTGCTGTCAAATTTAATTTAATTAATGAAATAAACTGTTTAAAAAATTTTCTATTCAATTACTCACAACGGAAAAGAAAGAAGTTCGTAAAAAGGAAGTCATAAATATGAGATTCCAAAATAAACTCGTGTAATCTCATTAGGGTAAAAATAACTTCTATATTTATTTCAATATTACATATTGTTATACCCTTAATAATATTACAAATGCAAACTAAATATTGAAGTCACACTTCGCACAGTATGATCAATAAGTTTATTTAAAAAAACCCTCCCTCCCCTCTTTATGAGTTTATTACTTCATAACTCAATAATGATACTTGTATTGCAATGAATATCATGATAGATCTTTCAATGATGCCTCACATTCACTTATTCTCTTAATAACGCATATATTAAAATCCAAATATTAGATTATTCATTCAATATGCTGATTTACTTTACAAGTGCTTTACTTCGTTCATTTCTTCTTGGCCCTCCCAATCACATCCTAACAGATTGCGCTTACTTCTAGTTTCGAGTGTACTTGCCCCAGATATGAAGCATGAATACAGATGCAATGAACAAAAGAGACATGACAAGTACTGGCACAGGACCCCTGCAACAAAGCAATTTTAATATTTAACAGCGCTTCAGCCTATACAAGTTTTACGAGAACAGTAAAGGTAAAAAGTAGAAAAAATAGTACTATTTTCTACTATTATTTTTCATATATAACAAGCAACAAAAATATATAGTAATAAATTGAACTACATTAAATTCTCTTAACATTACAGGAAATTGAATGGACATATGGAACATGGATATAACCTCTAAAACCTTCGATGAACTTCTACTTACACTTTAATGCCAGGCGAGTCATCCGTGTAAAATCTCCACATACCACCAGAGCTTGTGCCTGTATTCCTATTTCTACTCGAAGTAGCTACGGTGGTTTTCCTTTGCCTAACGGTACCGCTGCCACCTGTTCTTGGTGCTATGGCTTTGCTGGGCGACCGTCCAACCGAGCCCACGGAGGTAGCACTAGGTGCGGCAGGCTTTTCCGAGAAAGATAAAGATAAACGTTATTCAATCTAAAGATCTATTTTCCTCAGAAATATATTGTACGCTTCAAAACGTCATGCTCACCATCGTTTACGATTGTTTTTCTCACAAATCTGAAAGGTTCTCTTGTCTAGTAGACGCTACTGATGCTGTTTACTGCAGAAATGTTCCAAATCTCTCAATAGTGTTTGCTCTAATTAAGAACAAAATAATGCTCGCTATAAATCGAAACGTATACACGATAAATTCAACAGACAACTCATCACTCGTAGCCACGATCTGACACGCGAACGTCTATTTACCAAACGATTCGAACGCAAGCTGGCGGTACAATACGGAGAGTTGCGAACAACGTGTCATATGTGTATATCCACGTGGATGCGATGAACACGTCACCATATGCGTCTACTCTTATAGCGTTTTCGATTATACAGGATTTGAACGACCCAGGGTTGATCAATCACTATTTTACTATAAATGCAAGTCT